GGTTCAAACTGAGTTCTGATCAGCACCCGAAACTTGACACATGCAGCCTGCACTGCCGTTGATACTTGTCTTGTGATTTAGCGCTGCTTAAAGCGAGCAGCGTAAAGTGTTGCAGCTCTCGTCAAGTGCTGCCGCTCTCGTACTCTCAAGATGACTTCACATCTGCGAATGGTGTCATATGCTTTGCTAAGACATGCCATTGTAAGCTGCATGTGTTGAACTGTGTTCAACAAGGATTTGCCTACGGAAATCATGGACATTTAAGAAGTCGAGGTGGCAACATGTGGCTGTCTGCAACACACGCAGCAATGAAATTCTGCTGCTTCCCAACCGCCATCCCCTCTTCAGTCCTGCGTAACCGTGCGCTGCCTGGAAGGCAATGTGCGATCTCATTCTCACAATCAGGAGCCAACATACCAGCACACAAAAGAAAATTCAAAAAGACAGAAAAACCATGCGTCGCCCTGAGTTCCACTCTTCACATGACTTTCGGGTTGCAAGGGAAAGGTCATCGAAAATCTGCGGAGCGAAGCTTCGGCCATTGGCACCAATATCGTCTCGAAAGTTGAAAACAGCTGTACTTGGAGGTTCATGGGTAGCTATAAGTAGGGCTGCAAGTCCCTTAATATGGGTTATAACTATAGTTACCCTAATTATAACCCCACTTATAACTACCCATGAACCTCCAAGTGGCGATGCAGTCACAAAATCCCGTATAAAAGCAACAAGTGAGGAGCCAAGCGAATGCAAAGCAGCGAGTAGCAAAGGATTGACAAAACACTTGGATTTGCCTTGGCATGCAGTTTAGGGTTAGGGTTTAGGGTTTAGGGTTTAGGGTTTAGGGTTTAGGGTGGCTTTCGGGTTTAAAGTTCGGGTTTAGGGTTTAGGCTTTAGGGTTTGGGTGTTACAAGGTTTAGGGTGGACTGTTTGCGCTTTGCGGACGGTGAGGAATCTTGCCGGGGGTCAGGGAATAAATATTGGGCTACAGGGTCTCTTGCACCGCCCACTTTGCAGCTTGACACCGTTTGGGTTTAGTATTTGGGGCTTAGGGTTTAGGGTTTAGGGTTTAGGGAGGGTTCCGGGTTTAGGGTGCAGGGTTCACAGGTGCTTGATGGTCAATCGTACCGGGCTTACGGAAGCTATGCTTAACGGCGCAGGCTCGAGGGGGAACCTGGCTTTGTGCACCATGGTTATAGGCTGTCAAAGCCCCAAGCCCAAAAAAAGGCATCGAGCCTGGATCCAAAACCACGAGGCCCCTTCACGTACTTAGGGTCAAGGAAGTGAGAACCTCAATCAAAACCATGAAGAACCCCAAAGCCTAGACTCTCAGCCATAACCCATAAACCCCTAAACTCTACACCTCTGTAGACCCCTTACAGGGCCGAACGAAAACCTGTTTGGGCTTCCTATCTTTGTCTGTACTGTGGCTGAACGGAGCTCCTTAGGGATTAGGGTTTAAGGTTTAGGGTTTAGGAACAAGAGCTCTGCGATTTGCTGTTGGAGATCCTTTTTGCTCTCTGCCCATCCTATGGGTTGGCCAGCAATGCCGCCGAAAGACGGCAAGGAGACTTACGGCGCATCAGCCTAGCGGATAGCCCCTTGGCTCAGTCCTCACCCTCATCGCTTCAGGAGATCCGGGAGCCCTGCGTTTCAGGATTGAGTCCTGAAGCCTTAAGGAGTTCTACCATCTAGGCATCTCGGGTTGCATCCCACTTCAGGGAGATGTCCTGCACGGACAGTGCAACACCTCTGGACGACTGGATCACTGGCGTGGACAGGCCCAGTCAACCAGGCGAGGCCCTGACATCTGGCACATAGTTTCAACCGGGGAACAAGCTTTTGTGCTTGTGGCGATGCTCTCGTGCCGGCAATTCTGCTGACACGCACACAGACGTCAGCACTTCTACACTACCATTGAAGTCCCAACAGATCCTTCAGTGTCTGACCTTCTCCGTTGCAACTCAGCGGAGCATCCTTCAACCGACAGAGATCTGCAAGGACCCTACGATCGCACAAAACCTTTGGTGTGGTGTTACGGGGTTTTTCAAGGGTTTAGGGCTTAGGGTTTAGGGTGTAGGGTTTAGGGGCTAGGGCTTAGGGTTTAGGGTTTAGGGTTTAGGGTTTGTGGTTCATGGCTTAGGTTTAACAAGGGCTCCATATGGCTGATATGGATGTTGCTGATCTCAAGAGTTCCCTGTCTGCAGAGTCCTTGCTATGAGGAGCATGAAGTTTAGGATCTACTGTATGGTGCCTAGAAGTCTAGGGCTGAGGCTTCAATGGTTTTTTGTTTTAAGAGTTTAGGGTTTAGGGTTTAGGGTTTCGGTTCCAAAGTTTGGGGTTTGGGGTTCTCGATGGTTTCAGGCTGCTTTGGCTTTCGGGTCTAAGGTTTATGGATGTCGGATTCAAGCTTAGGGCTTAGGGTTTAGAGTTTAGGGTTTAGGGCTTAAGGTTTGGAGTTTAGGGTTTAGGGCTTAGGGTTTAGGGTTTAGGGTTTAGAGTTTAGGGTTTAGGGCTTAGGGTTTAGGGGTTTAGGGTTTAGGGGAGCTTGGACCTTAAAGTACGAGACTCTGAAGGCGATGATGACCCGCCTTGACGACCTGCCATGGGCAGTTCTGCGCATCAAGGCGAGACCGACAGTACTGCTGCTCGTGCATTTTAGGGTTTAGGGTTTAGGGTATAGTTTCGGCTTGGGCACAAGCTTCTTCGCTTGTAGCGAAACCGAAGGAAATACCGGAAAAAGAGCACACAGTGCAATATGCCCTGCATCCAAGGAAGCATCAGAACGCTCCCATACCGGAAAATCTGCCGGGTCAAGGCAGAGGCGCGGTTGGAGCAGCTTCGGCTAGCATTTGATTGGGAAGGCTAGGGCTTAGCCCAATCCTTGGGATCAACATCCCACAAAGCATCAGCAGCGAAACCCCAGAATGCAAATCTAGGTCCAGGCCCCTAGTCCGCAAAGCCATGACCCCAAACTCACTAAACAGTTTAGGGTTTAGGGTTGAGGGTTTAGGCCCCAAAACCATCAACGGCAAGGAGTCAAGGTCTTACTATCGGACCAGGGGCTTGACCTCCAAAGGAGCAGCCATCAGAATCTGTACCGGCGGGACTTCGTGACAACGCTGCAGTTGATAGGGGGTGCATGCATACATTACATTACATTACATTACATTACATTACATTACATTACATTACATTACATTACATTACATTACATTACATTACATTACATTACATTATGTTACATTACATTACCTTACAGTACGTTACAATGCATTAACAATTATATTTACATTTACATCTACATCTATAATCACATTTACACTGACAATGACATTTGCATTGGCATTTACATTTACATTTACATTGGCATTCACATTACATTACAGTACATTACATTACATTACATTACATTACATTACATTACATCGCATTACATCGCATTACATTTCATTACATTACATTACATTACATTACATTACATTACATGACATTACATGACATTAC